TTTATTTCCTAAGCAAACATTTTAAGGGGTCTGTATCATGGAGTAACAAATGGAAACCAAGCTGCAAAATCTGTAGCTTGTTTATCTTATATTGCATACAGACATGGACAAATTTGTTGGTAGCTTTACAGCTCATTGAAACAAGGCTTCATTCCTCCTGAAAAATGATGAAATTAAAAGCAGGTGTATCATGTATACCTGCATGCCTTGTATCACACGTCTTCAATCTTATAATCAGTCATTCCGTCTGTTTAAATGGAGAAAAGTAGTCGCTCTGCTGCTTGGTGTCATTGTGTGCACCACACTAAACATGGACCAGAGAAAGAAAGGAGAGAGTTGTCTGAGGAGATCAAAAAATATATATACAAGCATGTTGAAGGTAAAGGCAATAAGACCATGTCCAAACAGCTTGATGTTCCTTTGACTACAGTTGAAAATACTATTAAGAAGTTTAAGGTCCATGGGACTGTAGCTAACCTCCCTGGATGTGGCTGCAAGATGAAAATTGACCCCAGATTGAACAGAATAGTGTGAATAGTAGATAAAGAGCTAAAGTAAACTTACAAACTTCCTAAGAGATACAAGTTGAACTCCAAGGTCAAGGTACGTCAGTGCCTGATCGCACCGTCTGTCGTTTTAAGTGACAGTGTGCTCCATGGAAGAAGACCCAGGAGGACTCCACTGTTGAAAGAGAAACATAAAAAAGCCAGAGTGGAATTTGCTAAAATACATATTGATGAGCCACAATGCTTCTGGGAGGATGTGCTTTGGACAGATGGGTCAAAACTGGAGCTTTTTGACAAGTCACATCAGCTCTATGTTCATAGATGAAAGCAAGTTTTCAAAGAAAAGACCTCAGTTATGTTTTGGGGCTGCTTTGCTGCATCTGGCATGGGGTGCCTTGAATTTGTGCAAGTCACAATGAAACCTCAAGACTATCTGGAGCAAAACGTACTGCCCAGTGTCAGAAAACTCTATCAAAGTTCATAATAACTCCACTGTGATAATGATCCTAAACACACAGCTAAAAGCACCCAAGAGTGCATAAGAACAAAACATTGGACTATTCTGAAGTGGCTTTCTGTGAACCCTGATCTGAATCCTATTGAACATCTATGGAAACATGCAGTCTGGAGAAGGCGCCCTTGAAACCTGGAGCAGTTTGCTTAGGAATAGTGGACCAAACCAGTGCAGAAGTTTCACTGAGAGCTACAGAAATTGCAAATTTGCAATGATTGCCTCTAAAGCTTGCGCAAAAAGTATTAGGCTGAGGGTTCCATCATTTTTGTCGTTTTATTATTTAAAAAATTCAAAAATATTTTATTGCAAAGTCTGTTTTCAAATATGGAATAAATAATGATGTATCCCAATTACTTTTGTCAGTTGCAAGCTTTTTCAAAGAAAATTGTGTGCTCTTCTTTTTCTGTGTAAGGGCACCAACAATTTTGTCCCCGTCTGTATATCTATTCAGCCTGCAGCAGTTTAGCCCCTCCCATTTACGTTGACATATAAGGAGTGTTTCAGCCTGGACTGCGCAATACAGGACAGCCAATCAAAACATACATTGGCATTAAAGGCACAATAACAAACACAGCTTGTTTAAATCTAACAGAGGTTGGAAAATGGTCATGTAAAAATGAATTATGGCTGGTTCCAATGCATGAATCAAACAAATGTCGTAAGGTCAAAAATAATAATAAAAAAAAAGACATGGGCCCTTTGAGTTCTTTTTGAAATGCCACCCAACAAATAGTCTTCAACAACCAACAAGGTCTCAGAGTATGTGGAACCATTTGAAAAGCATCCAGCATCTAGCTTGAGAGGATGCCAAGATAGTTTTGCTGTCCACTATTATTGTAAAATGTAAAAATGAGTGAAAATGAGGAAAACCTTTCATGTCCAAACCTTTGGCTGGGACTGTACTTTGGCTGGGATCTGCCTATTTTTCTGACCATGGAAATGGGTCACAACATAACAGTGATGCAAAAAGTGGACTTTAACTGTAGTGACACCCGACTGTTTCGTTCTGTCTGCCTGTATCAGTGTGCCATATGGCTCTTTTGATGCGCAGGAAAATCTGATTCACTTTGATGGAGCTGCTTTCTTAGAAGTTTGCGATGGGCGAGTGGAGTCGACGTTTGGTGTGCCAGAAATCTCCCAGCATGCCTGTGGGGTTCTGAATTTCACATCACAGAATGGTTATGAATGATGCATGATTGGAGAACAAGAAAATAAGAAAGGCTGAACATGAATGAAGTGTGGGTCGGCCTCGTCTCGCCAGCTTTAACAGTAGAACATTAGACAGCAGGGCGAAATACTCGTCTTAGTTCATTAGCCGATACGTTTGGTGTCTGAAGTTTGCTTCTTTAGTTTTGCGCTGGAGCTACAAGGCTAATTTAGCTAACAAATAACGGAAGTTGACAAATAATGATATTACTGAACAGTGTGAGGCCAGAGTGTGACGATTTAGGTATGCAGACAGCTGTAAGCTTCCATTACCTGTTAGCTGCATTAGCCTTGTAGCTCCAATAAGAAGCAGACTATCAACATCAAACATTTCTTGGCTGATCAGCTACACTCTTAAAAAAGATGGTTCTTCAAGGGTTCCTTGGTAAAGACAATGATTCTATATAGAGCCATAACCACTCAAAGAACCACTTGCATGCTTAAAGGGTTCTTTGCATGGTGAAATGGTTCTTGAGATTGATGGAGAATATGTTGTATATGGTTCTACATAGCACCTTCTTGAGAATGGTTCTATGTAGCACCAAAAAGGGTTCTGCTATTGTTACGATGTCAAGCTTGCAACAATGCAACAACCATTTTTGGTGCTATATACAACCCATGTAAAGAACCATTAAAGCATGCAAATGGTTCTTTGAGTGGTCATGGTTATACATAGAACCATCATCTTTATTGAAGAGCCATACTTTTTAAGGCGTTTGACCCCATTCCCCATTTGGCTGAGGGGAAAATGGTGTAAATACAATTTTTTCCACCAAACTATCCCTTTATTATGGATTTATGACTATTTGTTGAAATGTCTGCAGGTGAATGTGGTCCAGTTGGGATAGTTCTGATTAGACATGATTGTGAGAGCTGTTTTGACTGGGAATAAAAAGACTAGATATGCATCTGATGCATGCAAAAAGTCAGGTTTGACTATGTGTCTGGATCTAGCCTTAGGAAAGCAATGGTGCTTTAGTTACAGCCTTGGATAAACTCTTGGGATTATGTACAATTAAAAAAGATTAAAAAAAGATATTGCCTCACTGCTACATCTGAGCTATAATGCGAAACCTCATATACACTGTAGCTCAAATCTTTAGAATTTGTTTTAATATTGTTGTATATACATAAATGTATTTGCCATTAAACCATTAAGTTATTTATTTTTCAGTGAAATGTACACAAAAGCAAGTACTTATCACATTTTTCAGTATTTGGTGTTTCCGCCCTTTGACTTTGTTACAGCTTCCATTCTTTTTTCAGGAAATTTCCTTTAGTTTAAAGAAATCTGCTGGGATATTTTTCCACACCTCTAAAGTTCAGTCTTAGAAGTTGGTCACTTTCTCTGTTTCTCACAATCCAAGAAATCCCAAACACATTCAGTGATGTTGAGGTCTGGACTCTGGGGTGGACAGTCCATTGTTTTCACCAGCAGCTTCTTTGTCTTATTTGCAAATATTCTTCTTTTTTTGACTATTTCCTTTTCTCAGTAAGGGCTTCTTGACAGCTACCCATCCTTTCAGACCCATAGTGTTGAGTTGTCTTCTCACAGTGGAAGCATGGACAGAAACACCTGTGGATTTTTTCAGATCTAAAGAGAGTGAAGCTTGATTTTCTCCTTTCTCTCAAAGATGAAAGCATTTAGTACTATTTATCTGATGGGGGCAGTTTTGGTGGTCTACCAGGCCTTACACAGTTGTTAGGAGTCCCATTTTTTTGCTTGTTTTTCTTTGCTGTTTCTGACGTGACAGAGAAAGCTGTATACAGGGCTGGAGTGGTGACTTGTTTTCAGACTTCGACTTATATGATTTCTCCTGCCACACTCACCCACACAGCCCTGCCTTCGAGCAAAGTAACTTTTTAAAAGATCTGCGCATTTTCATCTTTGTGTCTTACTCTTATTTAATATTTCTATGCAACACGGAGATAACCAAGGTGGTCAGCTTGTGATAAAATAAAAACTGGCTACATCTTAAATTTGACATAGTCATAACGATCAGTATGCTACAAAGCAATGATCACTATCTAAGTTAAAATTTTCACTGCCCACCTGCTCGGATATGTCCTTTTCCTCTTTAAGTAGCTTTTTCATTCTTGTCTTCTTGGTGCCATTTTTGCTTTTTGCAGTTTTAGTCAATCTTCACATGATTGACGTATGAAAATTATGACATTATGACATCGTCATTCCATATGATGTGCTAATCTCTGATGTTAGCTTCTGTTCTTCAAATTTCTGTTCCACCTTAAATAGTGCAGCAGTTACATGCTAGAGCCTGTACAGGCATCTCAATGTAACTGCTACATCATTTAAGGTGGAACTGGAAATGAGAATAAGAAGCTATCTTCAGCTTCATGTAATGTCAATCCACAGTATGAGAGCCAGTTATGATAAGCAAATAATGGATTACACTCACAGTATCCAGCCCAACATGCTGCAGGCCCATTGACTCTAGCAATGGCTGTATAGCATTGAGAATGAAATTATAATTGATTAGTATCCAGCAAAGTGACTTTATACATACATAGGTAATTATATTGTTCATCACCTGCTTCTTGATGCCTTTTCCAAATGCTAATTAAATTAATATGAAATATATTTGTAATACTTTTTGGATACTTTTAATGTTTTTATATCATTCATGATTCTGTGTAATATAATTGACTATATAATCCATTGATATGGTAAGTGTGTTGACATATATAATTGAAGTGACTCTGTGATATAAGTAAGTGTATTTGACTGGGTCTTTGTTGGTGGTCTGTGTTTTCAGAGACTTTGCCCACCGCAGCTGTGTTTGTGCCAGAAGTCCTGCCAGTCTGCAACCATGCCAGGCCTGATCAACAAGGCCAAGCGTAGCGCCCTGCCGCTCAGCGTCTCCGACATCACTTCCTGTGTCCGGGGTTACACACTGGCCATGACGGCCTCCATGACATATGAAAACATAGAGGACCACCCCATTGAAGGTGAGAGTCTCAAGAACTGAGCTAACATGGCGCAGCATTTGGGAGTCACTCCGCAAAGCAGGTTTTCTCAGTTTTGCTGGATAATTTATGGTTAAGTTACTCCTTACCTCTCCTCCTGTCCAAATGACCACACCATGGTTCTCAGGGTCCAGTGCTGGGTGGCACATACAGTGCACATTATTTGTAGACAATGCTGAACTGTACAGTACATGGATCCCTAAAGGGCTGGAGTTACAAACACTTGCTGAATATCAAAATATTCAGTGGCGAAGTGTAAATATTAGAACTAGGCTTTTAGTTTGGGTAAATGTCAAAATTCAGTTAAACAAAAAAAAAACACGTCTATGACAATTTCTCAATTTTTCTAATGCCCCTGTGTGATTTCTTAAAGTATTGCAGTGGTGAACTAATGCTTGAACCTGAACATCTTTTGTTGTTCTAGATTAAACAAAGACATTTGAAACCTGTAAAAGACATTACATGTTTCTTTGTTTAAATTAAAGCTTGCAGCAGACAGTAACATGTCACTGCTGTTGGAACAAAACCTCATATCTCCGAAATGGTAACTGTAGGAGCAAACTTTCTGAGATTTTTTTGGACCATTTCTGCAGGTCGATTCATTATGAAATTTTAACTGGAGTTTTCAAATTATGTAGAAAAGAAAAAACAACAAAAGTGGAGATACAAGGTTTTTGCATGACAGCAACGATATACATTACACTATAGCAGTGACTCTTTCAGTAAAGAACTCATAGAGCTGCCACTGTTTTCTATTTCTAACAACTGACTGAAACCTGATTAGACTACAGCTCATATTCACAGTCAGTAATGGTCTAAGGCAGAGGTATTGCTGGGGGGCATGGATAAGAATTGAGATAGAAAATTGCAAAAAGTAAATATTTAAACAACCCTGTCATAATACTGTTTTTTATGTAGCTCTTATTGCCCTGCTGCTTTTTATTTTATTTACTATAAAAGTTCTGGACAAATTGGATGATTTGACCTGATTTACACATGTGCTGCAGTAGTTTGTACATTGACACGTTTGTTTTAGCTTAGGGGGTCCCAAGTTCTCAAAAAACTGGAAAAGGAACCTCAGGAGAAAACGTTTGAATACCTCTGGCCTAGAATGACCTTTATTCTTACGAAATTTGGTCCCACTCACTGTAAAGCATTGATTGCGCTGTCACTTCTTAATTACTTTGGCAGTTAATCTGATGCGTCAGTCCAGCTCCTAAAGGCCTAACCAGTGGAAAGCCTGTGAGCTGTGTCTAGGAAGATGCCAGTGCAATTCTGTTTGGACAGTTTTCCTTTTGCCATTTTAAGTTTCCAACCAAAACTTAACAAAGTAATAAGAGTATCACTTGAGGAGTTTAAATGCAACATGCATGATGATAAAGTAAAAAGAACATATTTTTTGGTTCCCAGAAACCACTAGGCTTTCTCTGAAGGCCAAGCAGGCCCTCAGGGTTCCAGGCTTAAAATATCATAGGAGAACCTGTATTGAATCTCAATGTTCTTGCACTGTGTATTATCAGATAACATTACTGCTTTGTTACATATCCTCTGTAATTATGTTCTTATATTATTTGAATGTTACTTTATGATACATATTACAGTATTAATTCCTTTCAACAACACAAGTTAATTGGAATTGGGATGGGTCTACTGTTACCAACACATCCTTTGAGGACCAAGCTGTGCTTTCTTCATACACTTTGAGTCTCAATCCTCTGACTGACACACAGTCACTTTAAGACACACATGAATGAGCAAGCATAGCCTGAGCAGCACCCCGAGGAGCCACAAAGACGTTCATGGCAGACGGAAGACATTCCTCTGCCACCTTCCTTCCATCTGGGGAGAGCTCAGCGCTGTCACCCATGCTAGCATTTCAACATTAGCCTGTGGCACACACACATACAGAACACCACATGTACCACATATACAGATCTGTTCAAAAACCTTTAGACACCTGAGAAAATTACAGTTAAAAGCTATTTAATTGGACAGTAAGTGTTTATTTGCTTAGAAAAACTGATTTTAGAATAATAGAATAAATACAAATAATAGTAATACAACTAGAAGAGGAAAGTTTGTGAGTGAACTTTAAGTTGGCATGACAAAGCAATTGCTATGAAATTCTAGGTGGTTGCTAGGGTTTGGCTATGGTATCCCAGGTAGTTGCTAAGGTGTTGCTAGGTCAATGCTATGGTGTCCCAGGTGCTGCTTGCTAAGCAGGCATATGGCATTGCTATAGCGTACCAAGTGATTGCCAAGGTGATGCTAAGCCATTGCTATAGTATTCCAGGAGATTGCTAAAGTTTTGCTTGACCTCTACTATATTATCCCAGGTGGTTGCTAAGGCGTTACTACAGCATTGCTATAGCATCCAAGGTAATTGCTATTGTGATGTTAAGCTATTACCATGGTATTCCAAGTGATTGCTAAGGTTTTGCTTGGCCTTTGCTATGTTATCCCAGGTGGTTGCTGTGATGTTGCTAGGCCTTTGCTTTAATATCCCAGGTGGTTACTAATTTGTGTGTATACAGATGCTAGTATGTATATGTATCTGTATGTAGCATCTATGAGGGCCAGTTTGAGAGATGTCCCTTGTGATATAACTTGGGGCAGTTAGATTTGAATTTTCTCAACATTTTTCTATTCATTTCCAATAGGAAAAAAATGAAAAACTTATTACTATACTCATACAAGCACTACGATCCTTCAAAGTTTGGTTCGTGAAAATGGTAGAATTATAAAGCAAAGAACAGTAAGCTAGCATTGTGAAGCCAACTCAACAAGCTGTACCAAACCTCTCTTTGTTGAAGCCCAGTATTAACTGTAGTCAACGTCTGCAGTTGCAAAGTCATAACAACATAAATTGTGAACAGCTGGGCTTCAGGGTGGAACTGCAGACAGTTTAGGGTCAACCTAAGAAAAATTATTGTTAATGCTGTTGAAAAAATGTATGCCCTTAATTATTGTTGCCTTATGGCATTATTAACATGTTGGCTTTGACACCACTACCAGGAAGACTTTGTAGTCCCAACTGGTATTTAAAAAGTATGTTTTTTCAAAGGTAAAGGCCTAAATCTTATTCTTGACCACAGAAGCAATTGAGAAAATGCATCAGAAGCCTTATCAGCCTACTAATCTTTTTTCTGAATCTGGTGCACTGTGCTTCAGAAGGACAGGAGTAGGCCTGGAAATGTCACTAGTACCTTATGTTTATCAACATTTACATTTATTTATTTGGTAGATGGCCTTATCCAGAGTGACTTTGACTGGAATTTGATGTGCAGGTGTAGTTCTGAATCATGGTGGTGAGGCAGTGTGAAACTGAGCTCTTTAAAGCCTTGAATATCACAGGGAGCCAGAATCAAAATATTTAAATATCAGAATATTTATTCAGACGTACAAGGAATTTCTCTTGGTGCAGGTGTCAACACAGACAAACAAACTCAAGACAGACTAAGATATACTGCATATAGACATTAAACAGACAGTACAGAATTTCACATTTCTTGAGCTGTCACAGAAAATACACACACTGCAGAGCAGTAGGGCTTCTTCATAACTGCAGTGCTGTGTCTGTCCCATTTTAGATTTTGATTAATGGTGGTGCTCAGGATTTTATAAGAATGTGCTCTACTGACTGTGGAGCCATGTGGTTCCAGTGGAGCCAGTGAAATGATCTCAGTAGAGGAGCTACATAGGAAAACTTCGGGAGGTTGTGGACCAGATTAGTTGTGGACCAGATGAGCTTTGCGGAAAGAAATTGCATGTGAGTGAACATCAGAAAGCAGGGAACTATAATAATCAAGTATGTATTCGCAGTCATTAGGAGAAATTTTCTACAGATGTTCTGAGGTAGGAATCTGCAGGAAACACTCCAAGATTTTTGGCCATATATGCTGGATATCCTAATAGAGAGGCAAGGAGTTTAGTCCTGTCTTACTGGGCCTCAGTTTTACGCAGTGGGTCTCCATCTACAAAGAGATATCAGATGCGGAGCGATATCTTCTGTGAGATTTGAGAAGAGGAACAGAAGTAGAGCAGAGTATTATCAGCATAGATGGAGTAGCCATTTGAGCTCCTCACAGCTCCCAGTTATTTTGTATACAGGGAGAACAGAAGTGGGCCAAGAACTGACCCCTGGGGAACTTTGAGGCGTTGCAGAACCGAGACAACTGCTCCAGGCTGTCTGGTAGGATTGATCATAACATAAGGGAAAAAATACAGAGCTGTGCTGCCTAAGTTCCAAAGCTTTGGTGGTTGACAGTGTCAGAGCCAGCTGACACGTCAAGGAGAATGAGGACCATGAACATAGATTTCCTCCTGGCTGAGCTTGTGAAGAGCTTCTGTGACTGACAGTTGAATGGCTTCCGTGGAGTGTCCAAAAGCTGGATTCTCAAAACAGGACAGTCACCCACTTGGGCCATCCTATCATCTAAGTCTTGGTCATAAGTGGCTGCTCCAGAAATCAAAAGTCAAAACATAGGCACCTGAAAGCAGCAGAATAGGTATGCAAGTCGCGTCGTTTTAAAGAAAAATGTAGGCCCGTGATTGGTCAAGAGTAATGAATGAATGAATGACATAGCATTAGAGTCTTCCTGGCAGAACTTTTGATAAAGCTTCCATTTCTCTGCAGTTTATCCCTTTTTTATACTTTTATATGTCAGTAACATACACAATCAGACAGTCACATGTACATATATATACATACATAAAGCATAAAAATAACATTAAACAACAATAAGTTCTTGCCATTGTTGTCACCAGGCCTCATGATGCATTGAGAAGATCGCATAATGATCACAAAGTGGTTCCAGGTTTAGAAGGGTCAAAAGACCATCATTAACAACCTCCACAATGCTTTGAAAATCCAGCCAAGGCTTGTATTTGGTCTGGTTAGTGTTGGGAAGGTTGTTCCTCTGGAGATGAGAAGATGTGCCAGTGGGAATCTGGTGCCTGTTCTGTGGTTTTGAACACTAATAGAAGGAGTGAAGTGGATCAGTAGTCTGCAGCATTTGTTGGATTGAGGGTGGCTTTCTTGAGGCATAATGGTGAGAGGGATTACAGTCATCACTTCATCCTCAGTGAGTGATTTGAAGGTTAGCAGAGTCAGGCTAGAGTTATGTGTGTGGGTTGCCTCTGCCTTGGATGGATGATTGAAAGAATTGCGGATGTCGCGCTTCTGTTCGAAGTATGTCATGAAGTCAATTGCAGCATGAGACGATTGTTAGTAGGAGGGGGATTAAGCAGAGAGAAGGAGGAAGGCAACAATTTATGTGGGTTTGAGATGCAACCATTGATTTTGGAATGAAAGAAAATCCAGCTTTTGCCACTGAGACAGCAGAAGGAAAGGAAATGAACAGCTCAGGATAGTTGGTCAGATTCCTCAGAGATCTGTATATTTACTTTTCCTCAGCTCTGTTGTAGCATTGTTCTATCAGGTCTGAAAATGTCAGAGAACCAAGGACTAGATCAGAAGTCTTCAATTCCATGCCTTGAATCCAGTTCACTGTCCTAGTTGTTGTAGTCACTGGTAGTTAATTGAACAGTTGTTGGTGTAACCGATTGGCCACCTTGTGTCATACATACCAATGATTACAAAATCCAGACCAGAAGCTGGAGTCAGCTGAAGATCTGTGATCTAGGTGGTTTAGAGCAGGGGTCTTCAACTCCCAGCAAAGTTTGATGATTTCCTTGCTCTAACACTCCTGTTATGGACTGTGGTGGACACCTGGCCTCCAGGCCTAGAATGGAAGACCCCTGGTTTAGAGGTGAAAGGGCAGAGTGAATCCAGAGAACAGGCATAGGCAGAAAGTCATGGTGGAGTCACTGTGTAGATTGAAGTTTCTAAGCAGGACAATTATCTTCAAGAAAGACCAGCCATCTTCACGAAATCAAGACAAACGGCTGCATTTCCCAAAACTTTCACAGCACATTAGCTATTGTTACAGAGCAGTCGGAGCACTCAAAATGATACTACAGCCCAGTATTCTTCAAATAGATGTGGTCCTGTATTGAACAGAAAAATCCAGACAACAAAAAACGACTTCTGAATCAATAGTCCCGCCATTGAATTCAGCAGTAGAGCCCACTTTGTCATAACAAAACTTTTTTAAGCAGCTGATTGACATTAAACTACTACCTTTTATTTTCCTTATACTGATGCATTTCTGTGCACATGTATTAACATTTTATGGTTGTGTCATATATCGTTTTTTGTCCCCTTTCTTGAAGGTATCTTTATTTACCCCCTGGAGGAGGGCGCTGTGGTGGTGGGCTTTGAGGCGATGATATCCACTCAGATAATAACAGTGCAGATCAAAGACAAGGCGAAAATCGATGACTGTTACTTCGACTGCTGCACAGCCACCAATGGAGCCCTACAGAGTGGGAGCGGTGAGGCTTCATGCTTTTCCTTTAGTCTTTAGTGTTCCATTTACCCAAAATGTAGCCATGTTTGGTGTCTAAAGTTTGCTTCTTTGGTTTTGCACTTGAATTATGAGGCTAATGTAGCTATCAAGTATCAAGCCTTGCCTAGATATTGATTAGCAAACTTTAGTCTTGCCCTTGCTGGATGTTCTTTTTAGACAGCAAAGGCTTGCTGATAGTGCACCTCACATGTAGGTCAAATTTGTGCAGTCTCTTTTTAATTGTAGATGCATGCACTTTGACAACAGTGGCAAGAGCTAATTGTAGATCTTGTCATGAAATTTTGGGGTTCATGAAACACTGGGGCGGCCTGGCCTGGACCAGTTGGCTGTGGTTTTAAATTATCTCCTCTTGTAGATCATCTTCCGGACAGTGGAATGATTGATTTCCAGTACTTTGGAAACCAGATAGACATCTACAATCTTCTTTCTGAAGGCCAACCTTTTGAAGAATGACAAACATGTTTATTTCAACTGTCACTTATTAAATTATTTCATGTTAATCCATCAATATTGTTTAAATGAAGATCAGATACCTGGATGTGAAAATAAGTTCAAAAAGTACACTTTTCCTGGGGTGTACTTACTTCTTCACAGGCCTGTATGTCCTACAGTATCAGAAACCGCATTACATGTGAGTTACATTAGCTTTGTAGCTCTGGTATAAAAGTGAAGAAGCACACCTTGGTGTAAAACCTTTTGATGTAATGGATTTTTCATTTCCAACTAGCGCTTTGGCCTCTTGCTGAATGTTCTGTGTGGTTGTCCTTGATTTGAAAAGACTGTCATTAATATCATAAGCCCTACTAGCAGATGAGTGCTAAACTAAAGGGAGGTTTTGCCTTTCATTTCTTAATGAATACCTGCATAATGCGATCCCTTCTTGAGAACTCTTGGTATAAGACACTGTGGCAGTGACTCCACTTCATTCCTCATCAAAGGTAACAGAACACGTAGATTACCAGGTCTGGACAGGGGCTTGATTGGATTTGCAACTGTGCTGCAGGTCAGGTGCTGTTAGACGAGGATTTGGAGCGGAGGGTGCTTGTGGTGAACCTGGGGGTCATTCCCCCTCTGGAGACCGTTAACGTGCTGGTCAGCACGTCTTCTGAGCTGTCGACCCTTCCAAACGGAGGCATCCGGGTCACCTCACCACCTGTCTGCACCCCGAGGGTCCAGCGTTCCATTAAAGAGGAGCAGGCCTTCTCTCCAAGCACAAGCAGGAAGTAAGACCCCAGTTACCTCTTGCCATTTGAGACATTTCAGCAGCTAGCGCTTTTCCATTAGTCATTTCTTAGCCACCAGTGCACACTTGTAATGAAAACTGACTTCTCGGGTATGGTGCTGGGGTTGCTAAGGGCTGCTGAAACACCTCCTGAAAATCACTCAGCACCTCCACTAGCACCCCCTGCAGAATGTTCACATGCAGTAGGGAACCTAGAGATTAAGGCCTTTTTCATTTCATTTCAGGCCACAAATGTAAAAACTCAGTCAAAAACGAGAAGAAAACACCTCTTTGATAATGCTAGCACTATCAGAATTTCTGCTAGCACCCTAATGGGATTTTAGCAGTTATGCTAAGCTTCTGATTCATGTGAACATTTCTGGGCTGTTAAACGTTAAATGTGTGCATGTGAAGCTTGTAAAAGATGTTCTATGTTTTATTTGAAGCTTTTAAGAGATACATTATAATGAGTCCAAAAGTCTGAGACCACACTGAAAATCTGTTTGTTTTTTCATTTAAACTTGGAAATAAACAACAGAAAGTTTAAAATCTCGAAAAATGTAAAACAAAGAAAAGTTATGAAAATTAAACTGAAGATTTCTGGGTCAGTATTCAAATTGAAGCAAATTTACAACACTGCCCACATTAATGCTTTTGTACGAAAGGTTTTCTTAGAGCTTCCAGTGAAGCTTTTGTTCTGACTCTTGGATGGATTTGATTTCCTCATCAGAGGCTTTCACACAAACTTATTGAGTCTATGCCAGGAGTACCAAGTGCATGCTGTCTTTAAAGCAAAAGTGGGGTAAACCAAATACTGAGAAATTCTGAAATTCATGTAAATATGAAAAATTCTACTTTTCACTGAAATTGTTATGCTGATATCATTTGTAATTAAATTATTGTATTAAAGAAAATAAATTAAACTAAATGTAACAACCCCTTAAAATCCCAGGCTTATTAGATACTAAGGCTACAGTAACTACAGGGACTTCATTGCAAACTGGCTGAGCTATTCTTAGGTTATAGAACTGTGTAATAAAACCTTGGGCCCACCTGAGAAGGAGAGTGATGCCCACCTGCCATTTTGGGTCAGTAGGTTTCAGTTACAGTACTGGTTCGGCATCCACAAGTTTGTTTATATCCATAGCCTGTGCTTGCACTGGGATAAGTGAAACAAGCGATAGTATCCTGTCAACCCCAGTGCTGGCACATCACCACAATAACTGGATTTTTTTTTTGGAAAAAGAACATATAATGCATCAGTTGTGGTACACAAACTTCATGAGTGCCATCATAAGCCATCATAAATAAAGAGGAATCAGCTCTAACATCAGTTATCCAAGCTTAGAATACCAAGCTTTTGTGGAAAGCAAGGCTTTAGCTTCACTATGGCCATGACACAAACGCTTCTGGACATTTCAGCAATCTTATGGATTAATTTGTGGGAAAATGGCAAAAACTGTACTGTAGATGATTGTCAACTGACTGGAAAAGCTGCATAACTTCAGAAATGAAGTTTTGGTTTTTAAGTTTTTTTTTTAATTATCGTGCCTTGTAGTTTGAAAGTTATTGTAAAGAAATAATTACAATTATTTACTGTTTAGTAGCTTCTTGATGTTTCTAAAAGTACCCTGAAGTATTGTGTCATCATAATATTTGTCTGCACTATGTATGTTATTACTGTATATAAAACTAACAAAAATTATCAATATAAGTGATTCCAAACCTTTGAATTGTATTCTAAGCCCTGTATGTATCTCTACCAGTTAAAGGGGACAGTACGTCATGTTGTAAGTATTGTGCTGATATTGAGAAGAATAAAGCAGTGAGATCAGAGATTTGTTTTATTTTCTTGTTGTTTGACTCAGGAGAGACAAACACCACTGTGCTCTGGGTTCTCATGAGCAGATGGCCTTGAGCGGCCAGCTGTGTCTGGCCTGGCTGTTGGAGGAGGAGTCCATTAATTCCATCGACTATGAGTTCAACTTTCAGCTGGAGATCAGAGGGCCGTATCTGTTGGCAGGTCAGAAGCTTACATAGTCTACCTGTTATTCACACAGAGAGACAGACATAGATACTACAGATACATAGAGAGTTGCCAGAAAATATTTTATGGTAGTGACAGTTCTTAATGTTAAACACCGTTTTTCAGACTTTAAAACAGTGGGATCTAACTACCCACGTTGTGGCCATAAAGGACAGGGATGCAGTCTCACTTCCTGCTCTAAAATGCAGGGACGTGGCTAAAATAAGACTCCGCCTATGGACTAAAACTCTTCGTTTCAGTAGTGACATGAAAAAAATTATAATAGATTTCAATGGATTCTAACTAGGCCTGGGTGATATCTAAAAATAATTAGCACAATATTTTCTAGTTTAAAAAATTGTGATTCTCGATTATATTGTGATCGCACTCGCTGCTGGAGGAACTTCAGGATGCAAGAGATTTCGAATGCCATGTTCACGCGCGTATTTTCATTTTTGGTTGTTACAGCAGCTTTTTCATTATTCAGCTAACAACACGCAGCTAACACTAAAGCTGTACGAAAGATACAGCAAATTTTACTTAGTAAATTGCACATAACCGAGACAGTGGGAATTTATTCTGCTATAGCATTTTAAAGGCCCCATTATGCTTTGAACAGTAGAAGTGAATAAAACATTATATGTACATATTATTTAATATTATTCATCATCTTTTTCTGATCCTGTTCCCAGCCGTAGATGGGGATCAGAAGAACTTTCTCTCCAGGTTAGCGCTAACTGCCCCATGGTCATACGCACTGTAGCTTGGTTTTTTTACTGTAGTGAGTCACATGGAAGCAAACAGAGGCTCCAAAGCATGGCAGCATTTATTTTAAACTTAATGTAAATTCAATGCAAATCAAAATAAGTAGAAAGTAAGGAGCCGTGTGGCAGGTAAAGCTAGCATTGCAGTGTGTAGCTAACACAGGCAGCTTCTTGGCAAACTTCTCTCTTTCTTTCAGAGAAAACTTTTGTGGAACATCCCTGCACACGTCTTAAATGTGAACCCCAATTTTCCAACATATTTAACCCAATTTTCTCCCCTAATTTGATCATGTGCAAATCCACCCACTAGCTAGGTCTCCCCCAAACACATAATATTACCACCAGCGCTAAGAGGGTAAAAGCTAGCACAAGCTTCCTTCAAGGCATGTGAAACTAGCCACTGCCTCATTTCGAACAGCTGCTAACCAAACGTCATTGGACAGCTGAACGTGCTTGGAACACTAACTGCCAGTTCTGTTCGGTTCTGTCTGATAGATAGATAGACAGACAGAGAGACAGGCTGGCTGGCTGGCAGACTGATCCACACCACATGCTGACTGAAAAAGGCACATTTTTTCTTATCATGTCTCATTCTGTTTGATATGCCATGTCGTAGAATCAATATTTCAGAATAGGATGTATGATAAAGTGTATTTCGATAGACGAATAGTCAAATCTGTCATTCACATACAGATTCCCTCATACATATTTAAGGCTTAGGTTTTTAATCACTAGTAATAACTGCGTTGCAGTATTTGCTCTTTGAAGACAGTGAATTGATGTCCTTGGTGTGGTATCTTCATGTCCAGGCCGCTGTGCAGCTACTGGTGTTACATGCTTTGGCTGTGTGTTTTGTGCAGGAGTGGAGAGCCCCTCTCATGCCATCCGGGCCGATGCTGACCCATCTGCCCGCTCTGCTACCAGCATACTGGTCACCCTGGCAGACAAATACACGTACGACTGTCCTGTGGAGATCCTCATCTACCCCAGTGGTGTGTAGCACACACATACACACAAACCAGAAACATGTACGCCCATAAATAGACATTTACACACATGTACACATACACGCAAACTCATATACACAGTTAAGCTAGTCTATTATACCTACAGATGGTTCTGGTTTAGTGGTTTAGTGGCTGTTGATGTGACTGTATAGTCTGATTACAGCTTGAAATATAATGAATACCATTCATATAAGGCTTAGTCAGGTTCAGACATCTTTATGTATATATATATATATATATGTATATATATATATATATATATACACATATATATATATATATACATATATATATATATATATATATATATATATATATAGATATATGTATATATATGATATTTGTCCAGTTTGGATTGGGTTCATATTTCATGCTCACATTTCTGGTAACCTTTCTGCCTTCTTTTGGTTCCACCTTTGGTTTAGTGGTGGTCAGGCTGGGCTCGGGTTGGGACACAATTTTGTGAGTCTACAGTAAAGGGTTTAGACAGAAATTTGTCAGGCTAAACTTGGGCTTAGTTAGAATTTTCAGGCCACAGATGTGCATATATTCAAAATTTGTTACCATGGTTTGGGTTGAATTCAGGCAGAAAATGTTTCTGAAAGTCTGATCTGAATTTTGTCAGGCTACACTCAGATTTAGACAGCATTTTGTTGGGCTACAGTTGAGTTAACAGAATTTTGTTGGGCTACAGTTGAGTTAACAGAATTTTGTTGGGCTACAGTCGAGTTAACAGAGTTGTTTTGGGCTCCAGTCGAGTTAAAACAGAATTTTCTTGGTCAGGTTTGGACAGAATTTTGTCAAGCTACACTTGTGGTGGGATAAAGAACATAGTAATGCTATATTTAGGTTTCGTTTGAAATGTCAGGCCCCATTAATGCTCAAAATCTAATATGACATCCACATTTTCAATGTCATAAACCTGGGATGTGATTTCAGGACGTTGTATAGCAGGGGTAGCAGGTATAGTCATGTTTTTCTGCTTATTCATCCACAGTAATGGTCATCTTCAGACTTCAGCACATCATTCATGGCTCACTGATGCCTCTGTGAGATGGAGAGTAGATGACCCTCTTGTATGGAGTGGTTTAAAGGCATGCGTACTGAACGTTCTGCCTGGATCTTATTCTTGTCCTGATATGACCATGGTATAATTGCACATAATTAGAAGTTCTCAGAGTATCTGATATTACAGCATCCTCATGACATGCCAGCTCAGTGTAATCAGTAGTGAAGGACTGTTTTAATATAGCTGTAGTTTGCTCTGGCAGTTATATCTCTGGAACACTGTATCATATTATGCTCAGGATGAGCTGCAGAAGGCTTCACTGTTTTGATATGTCAACTGTACAAGATCCAGCTTTCACAGCCGTAGAGTAGTATGGCAAAGACAAATGGCTTGGGATTGCAATCTTGGCGTACAGATGGTGTTGTTTGTTTTAGAGTACACTCTTCTTCTGCTTGCCAGAGGAGAAAGAGGCTCGCTTGGTCCGCTTATTTTTTCTCACTCTGTACTGCAGTCTCTTGTACTGAAGCAAGAACAACATCAAGGATGCTTTTCTGAAAGGATAAAGAAACTAGAAGATCATATGTCTACTGGCATCACACCTCTGTTTTGGTGATATTACAGAGAGTTCTATGTTGCTGCAGGCTTTCAAAGCAGCTATGAGGGTTTGTTGTGAGGTTTTGCTGCACTGCCTATCAAAAGTTTGGCCACACAAAGCTTCTCAGAATAGTTTTGATACAAACGCGCTAATGATTCTTTGTCAATTTGGTATAACAAGAAGTTAAAGGCTACCAGGTTAATTACAAAAAACAGTAAATATTTGTGACCATATTTGGAGAAATATTGGGGCAAATCCTGTTATGGGGTCAAAATGCAGCATGCATATTTTATATACCTCAAATAGAATGTGGTCATCTTGTTGGCCACCTTGTTGTCATTTTGTATTCCCATAGCAACCTTGTCTGCGAATTTATGGCCTTACCCTTCAGAATGTTTTTGCCGCATAAAGTTACTTTTTGAGTATTTTTAGATTACTAAATTGACTGTTTAAGTCACAGAATTTACACTTATTTTATTAACTTTCTTCATGGCTATAATTAAGCACCATTTTGAAGCATGTAAACAACAACTTGTAATGAGAGTTAGCCAGTTAGTACGAGCTAGTACAGCCTCCACACGGTGGGGTTAGTTTCAACACAGTGTTCCAACTAAGCCTTCCAGAGAAAACATGAGAGAAGCCAGTATCACCATATGAATTCAGCTCATTTTTTCAAGGTTTTAGTCAGAGCTTTACCAGAAACGTACTAGGATGCATGCTTGCCTACGCAGAAGCTTAAGGGTCCCAGGTAATTTTTAAGATTTATTAATTCTCCCCCGACTACCTGGGCCTACCCAGATTGATCACAGGCCCACCCAATCAAACAGGGAAAGAAAATTTATTAAGCGATTTTTTTAAGATAATAAAAATTGCTGTCACTTTTGTATGGCAAATTAAAATTATGCTCTTCACCAAGCTCTGCCTTATTTTCTCAACCCTCCAGTCACTGCACAGCTACCGTTCGTATCCACCATTGCTTCAGGCCTCCGGTTCATTATGAGCACGCCAGTGTTCATATGTCAAGGTTAAAAGATGTAACTGATGACTTCTGATAGTGAGATTCCATCAAGTAGAGTTATTTCTACTCAGCCAAGCTGAAAGAAACATTGTTATCATTAGTTTTCAGTGAATTTAGTAATTACAGTACTCTTTTACAACAAAGGCTAAACTGGGCATTGTGAAAATGTCGGTACAAACATTTAATGTTAATGTTATTTCAGTGCATCAAAGGAGAGACATGAATGCACTATAAATGTTTTTCACGCCTGCCATGGCAATATGTTTTTGCCTTCAATGATTAGGTTTTTTAAGTTTCCTGTGTTGTTTTCTCATCTTAGTACATCTCAGCTTCTTCTTTTTTGCCAGCTTATTTGAATTTTCCATTCCACCTTAAATAGTGCAGCAGTTACAGGTGCCAGAATGTAACTGTGGCACCAGTTAAGGTGGAATATAAAATTTTAAAAAGAATCTGGCGAATAAGGAGATCATTTTGACTTAGTTAGGGAATCGACTGCCTTCTCAGTGCAGTGTTCCAACCTTGTCTGGCCATGGCTTTTAGTGGTTTGGTTCTGGGCTTACGTTTGTACAGTAATGGAGCAATGATGAATGGCAGTGACAGAAGAAGTTGACTGGCGGCTGTGCTGAGTGCATCTTCTTTAAAAACAAAGGTTTTCAGTTTCTGGTACTGTATGTTACTACACCCCTAGGGCCCACGACCACATGTACACCCAGGGCCTATGAGCAGGTTAAAAAACCCTTGTAGGAATGTCATATAAATAAACTACTGTACATTCTAAATTTATATTATGCTTATATTTGCTGTTCTACTTTGTAGTTATTAAAATGAATTTGTTTCAAACTGCCTCTTTTCACTAATCATGTTTATTTTAATGCATGTTTTTACTGTATTTAGGTTGGATTGCTTGCTTGGTTCAGACAACATTAAATGGTGTTTTGCATTGATTTACCAGACTTTTTAGTGACTGTTACAACTAACCTCCCCAGTCTGTTACTGTTAACCCTGCCCATGGGGTAAGTTGTAATGTTTGCACTTACTCGACCTTTGGCTGAATTGTAAATAAATAGTGGCTACTGCAAAAAAAATCATAAACTTACATTGCAAACATTATAACTTACCCCATTGTCGAGATTAATTGTAACAGACTGGGGGGAAGACAGGAAAATTGTTGAAAATTGAACTATTTAAAGTAATAAATACATTCTGATTAAGCTTACTTTGGCCATTCATTTAGCTAAAACAAAATGCACTGCTTTTAAAATGGAAAAAATCTCTTGTTCAAATTTGAGCAAATAAGACAAATGTGATGAATCATAATTGACCACACAAACTAATTATTTTAATTGTTTGACAGCCTTATTAATTTTATGGAAATGTTACTTGTTTCACCAGATTGTGTGGGCATAACAAGCATATGCCATGGGCACCCAAATGCCCACATGCACGTAACTAGACACTGTGCTCATGGGTTTTATAGCCGTATTCAACCCAGTGTGACGCACATGCTGCAACACCCTGGTGCACGCCACACTCAGAAAGTCCTGACCACCTGTGGTCACACAAGCCATCCTGATATTATAGAGCTGGGCAGTTGGTGGTTTTCTGCAGGCACTCAAAGCTGAGGAGGACACGCACACACACACACACACAGACACAAACACTCTGTTCTCTAACCTGTGTGTTAACAGCACAATAGAGCCTCTTGAAGCCAACCAGCCTTAAGGCTTCCCCTTAATGCTTCTTAATGCTTCTGCACACCCCCGCTGAGTGTGGGCCGCTTATTAGATCAGAAACTATTGAAACATCATTCCCCGCTCCGTATCCTCCCTCGCCGCTGCCTGGTGTGGGCTGCTGCGCAGACATCTTCAGGCAGCTGCGAGCTCTGAGGCCGCTCGCTTTTTCCTGCCTTCCATTCTGCCTTTATTATGCTCTCCTCCCCCAGCACTCGCTCGTATTGACCTCCATCTCTTGTCGCAGTAAGGGAGAAATGAATCTGCCTGTTCCGACCTCCCCTCCTCAAGACTGACTCGCAGCCAGCGTAGCACAACCAAATCCAGCAGAGTGTGTTATGGTGCGGGAGGGCCAATAGGTTCCCCTGCTGAGAGCCAAGCCTTTTTATTTGATTTCAGACCCATGAATTCCACAGTTATCATCTCACATTTTCTTTCATCTGAGCGAATCACACTGCTTCATTTTTAACCCAGCAAATTTTACAGTATTGCTTCTGTAGCAGCCAGTTTTGTAATGTTATTTATAGAAATGGTTGGACAAAAAAATCTAATGCAGGGGATTGAAGGGGACCTTCTGTGGGGGTTCAGGGGCATGTAACATGGTTTGGTAAGCTAATTGGTGGATATCAGGAT